GCGGAGTAACGGTCAGCCCCCTCGACCCGCCACCGACCGCGGTCCTCCCCTGGAGACCGCAGCAGGCAGAGTCCACCGTTCCCGGGCTGCCGCGGGCCCAATGGCCGCCTCCCCTAGCTCAGCCAGGCGGCGCCAACCGCCGCAGCCACCGCCATCTTAGGATCTCATTGTGGTGGGAGAAGAGGGGCGGGGGGACTGCAGCGGGGGCTACGCGCTGGGCGACGTGCGCCGTCTCCGCGGCAACGGCCGCGCGCAGCGAGCACTGGGCCGGGGCGGGGGCCGCAGAGCGCTCACCGCGCTAGACTGCAGTCATGTGACCGGCCGGAGTCTCAGGCTCCTCCGCCAGCCGGTGCCGCGTACACCAACGAACCACCAGAGACTACATATCCCAGAATGCCACTGGACCCGGGTCAGGCGTGCCCGCCCTTCCGCCCTAAGGGAGAGGAATACACATCCCAGCATGCTGTGCGCTTCCCAAGGCGGCTCGCGGGACTGGGGATGCGAGGCCTGTGCGGAAGTGGGTTCACCACCCTCGGCAGCTGGAAGGAGAGCGGAGGCGCCTTCTCGTTTTCCGTGGGGGTGTCCCCTCGGACGGTGCCGGATGGAGGGGAGCTGACCCAGGTCCGCGGTCGCTCTTGGATTCCCTGTCCACCCACTTCCCGGTCACGAAGGGATGGGACCAAAAGGGTCTTGACAACCTGGTTTTAGGTTTACACGTGAGGAGGAAAATTCACGGGAGTTCATTGGCCGAAAGCCATATACTGTGTATAGTTTGTGGGAGATCATAAATATTAATAATTAATGCCACCTTGGATAAATGTCCTACTTTTTTTTTTCTTTTCAGAAGGACCAGATGATTTACATCAGAATTTAATACTGAGAAATTTTCTCTAAAACTGCACTCGGAATTCTTTTTTTTACTTTACGCTCTTCTCTGAGCAGCAGCTTTTTTAAGGTTAGTAAATTGACAGTCCTCTCGTAAAACAAAAGTATGCGACGGAGGGATAGGTAAAGTTAAAATTGGTCCATTTTACTGGAGCGCAAGGGCATTCTATTTGTAGGCAGTTTATAGTTCTGCTTGCTTGCTTTGCGTGTTTTCAGCAAAATAAGGAAGGAAAAATGAGTGGGCACCTGGGTTCCAACAACACATTGCTCTCAATGAGCAACAGAAACTGTGCACGAAACCGGTCACTAGAACTCGTCGCAACCGTAACCGGGTGCGGGAGCTCTTCAGCCTCCTGTCATTCGCAGCTCCTTCGTTTAGTGCCCGCTGTGTGCGCCCATTACCTCGATTACCTCGGTAACAGGAACCTTGCCCTGGAAGCGCTCATGTTTTACTGAACGGTGTAACAGGGTGTGATGGAAATCAATTCTCTTTTGTAAGAAAACGAATTGCACAGCGCGTGGAGGAGCCGCTAACCAGCATGTGCCGGCTGCAATCCCCAGCGCCCTCGGTCCCTCAATTCCATACTCAGGAGCTAAGGTCTTGGGCAGATTACCCTCTCAGAGCCTCTTCACGTCGTGTCTGTTTTGTACCAAGGCGCAGAGTTAAGCATCTCTCCTATTGTGATGTTATTAATTCTCACAACTACCCTGAAGGGATTGATTCTGCATTCATTTCATTTTGCAAACAACGGGTTGAATGAGTCACCAAAGCTCTGGACTCCAAGGGCTAGAGTCCAGGTTTAAACTGAGGTCTACTGAATGCTTGGAGGGATTTTTGGATTAAATGCATGGGAAGAAGTAACTAGCGTATAAGATTTCAAAATAATTAGCTATCAGTATCATCATCATTACCATTTTGTTTTATATGGCGGTGCAAAAAAATCATTTTTCTTCTAAGTTGTTTTGGCTGAGCTAATAATCAAATTAACATGAGACAGATTAATGCTGGGGTCTTTTCCGCATTTACTAGGGTTCAAGGAATCTGGAGAAGTGGCTGTGCATAAATTAATGAAGAGACTAGAGAAGAAATATGAATTTGGAAGGCATAGGGGAGCCAGACGGAAACTTAGTTCTAGTGACTAAACTCCCCGAATCTGCGGACCCCTGGCTTTCTATTCCCACATTTTGCCCTATAGCAAAGCAGACGTACATATCAAAGGTAATGTTTGGTAAACAGGAAAGGACCATCAGGTTGGGGGAACTGCCCTCAGCTGTCTGGCAGCAGGCAATAACATGCAGATCGTCAGCCCTTCAGCCTTCTACGAACTTCTCACATTTTATTATGCCCGGCTGGAATTAGCCTCCAGCAGATTAACAGGAGAAAAATGTCCTATTACCGATATACATGCAGGGGATGCCATAAGAATATGAGACCCAAGGAGGCACTGGCAGTTGAGACTGATATGCCATTCTGGACAAAGGAGAGGGAGGCCGAGGTCTGGGATTTTAAAGGGAAAGCAAGCAATTTAGAGGTGGATAGAAAGAGCAAACATGTAATAAACTATGGTGGGGGTCTCCCTTCTCCATATCCAGCACGGAGAGAGAGAGATGTGAACCGGTTCTTTTAAGTAGGAGGCGCTTTCGGGATTTGAGAAAATGAAAAGACAGACACAGAAATAGGATAAAAGCTTGGGACCAGGTGTGGCGTCTGCCCTCTGAATGGAGGGACAGAACGGCCTCCAACACCGGAAGTAGATTTAATAAATACTCGAATAACAGAGAGTTACATCACATCTGGGTGGGCCTTGAGTTCCTGGTGACATCATGAGATCCATCCCCTTAACACTGGGCGGGAAGGTCAAACAGAGTGGCGTCCCAGTCTCTTGACTAGGTCCGCCCCCAGGGCGTGGCTCTGCCTGTGCTCTGAGTTTCAGCCAACATTTAAACCGAGTGTTAGCTAGCGGCCCTCAACAATAAACAAATGCTTGCTGGGCCTCCCAGAAACAATGGTACACAGAAGGAAGTTCAACAAACAGGCTTTGCTAGATTTCTCAGGGTCTGGCACATTTAGTCTATGATATTATGCTTTAAGCAGGTTTTTCTATTTAAATTCCTTTAAGCAGATAAGGGGGAGGGCCAAAGTTTCTTTCAGAGTCTTGTTTTCTTAATAAACAGCCTAAAAATCAAAATCCTAAAAGGCATATTTTGAGGAGGCAAAACTTTGGTCCCCCTCATATCTATATATATAAAAGGCTAATATGCTAAGTGTCCCTCCCCCCATCCAACTGGTTGCTATGATGCACTATGACCACCAGGGGGCAGACGCTTAACACAGGAGCTGCTGTGACATGCACTGGCCATTTACAGAGAAACGGCAGCAGGGACCTGGTGCCAACAAAGCAACACTTGGCTTCCCCCAAGTGGGACACAGGCCCCACCACTACCCCAGAGCGACAGCCCACCAAATCACAGCTGATGCTGCCATGGCACAAAATGCAGCCCACAGCCCAGCCCAGAAACGGTGGCTGTGGGTGCTGGGTAATGATGTCACATAGCAACATCTGGCTTCTTCCTAGTGACGACTAGCCTCCTTGCAGTTTCTTCAACCCAGGAACACGACTGGCTGGCTTCATAGCCAGGTGGAAACATTTCACACTTCAACCAAATGTCTGTGAAGTGTTTCCCCGTGCCTCATCTCATTTGATCCTCACAGAAGTCCTGGAGTAGGTAGATGGGAGACTCGATGGAATCCCATTTTCTTTTCATTAGCCGGAAAATGGAGATTTAGAAAGCTTAGAAACTTGACCCGATTGAAAAGAAGTAAGAAATGGTGGACCTTGAAAATGACTTCAGGTTTACTCACTGCGCAGAATATAGTCAAACACTGCTGCAGTTAAATATTTTACCCTTTGTTCTCCCTGTGTGATCCACAATAATAATCTGCTTCATGTTGATATTTTCTGCTGTATTGCTGACAATTACCTGAAGGAGAAGTTTGGGTGCTTCACTGGGCTGGAAAAAGTTTAGCTAAATCAGAAAGCAGGTCTAATTAAGCAAGTTTATTCTTTATCTATAAAGGCTAAGTTGACTCGTGCATGCGCGACACATATAAAGCTCACTGGCGCCAATTGCACACGTGTGTTTCCATCTGTCATTGTTGATTGTGAATTTGGTTGACAATCCTATTATAGAGAAAGGGCAAATAGCGATATTAAAATGTCTTCTAATTAATTTCCTTTCAATGTGCACGAATTTGTGCACTGGGTCACTAGAGTGTGTGTGTGTGTGTGTGTGTGTGTGTGTGTGTATAAATCTAAGCATCCAGCTGACCCTATGACATGCAATAACCATCAGGGGGCAGACGCTCAATGCACAGACATGGAAACATGGAACAGACTGATGAATCTTAGAGGGAAAGGGGGAGGGGGAAGGGCAGGAAAAGATTAACCAAAGATCTTATATGCATACTAGAGGCTTGGTGCATGGATTGGTACACCAGTGGGGTCCCTCAGCCCGGCCTGTGGGAATTGGGCCGAAACTGGCTCTCCAACATCCCCCAAGGGGTCCCAGATTGGAAGAGGGCACAGGCCAGGCTGAGGGACCCCACTGGTGCACAAATCCGTGCACTAGGCCTCTAGTATCTATAATAATAAAAGCATAATATGCAAATCGACCAAACAGCTGAACAGTAGAACAACCGTCCAGACAACCTTCCGGATGAAGCTGGGGCAGCCAGGGCTGTGAAGGCCTACTCTTGCATGAGTTTCATGCATTGGGCCTCTGATATATATATATACATACATACATATACACACACACACATATATTATATACCCACTACCTACCCTAATGATTATAATAATAAAAGCATAATATTCTAATTAAACTGGACAGTCGAACAACCTTCCAGATGTCATTCCGGATGAAGCCACGGTGACAGGGGCTGAGGCAGAGGCAGCTAGGGGCGATCAGGCAGGCAGGCGAGCAGTTAGGGACAATCAGGCAGGCAGACAGAGTGGTTGGGGCAATCAGGCAGGTAGGCAGGTGATTAGGGGCAATCGGGCAGGCAGGCAGAGTGGTTAGGAGCCAGTGGTCCCGGATTGTGAGAGGGATGTCCAACTGCCAGTTTAGGCCCGATCCCAGACATCCCCCAAGGGGTCCCAGATTGTGAGAGGATGCAGGCCGGGCTGAGGGACTCCCCCTCCACTCCCCATGCACAAATTTCGTTCACTGGGCCTCTAGTGTATATATAATTATGTAGAAACTATTGTCATTAAAACAATTCATGTTAATTCTGAAGTGTTACTGAAATCAATATGGTCATTATGTTGTTGTTTTTTGATTTATGGAACCTGAAAAATGTAAATGCTATTATGTCTGTTTGGTGAGGGAGGAGTCTGAGAAATTTTCACATTAAATTGGGGTCCTCAAACTCAAATATGGGCATTACAGATCTTAGCAGGGGACAAGAGAAAGAAAACCCCCTAAAACTAGAAAAGTATCCCAGTCTTCCAAAAACTTACCTAACTTAGAAAACAAACCTTATGTAAATTAATCAGTTTTAGTATCATGCCGGAAGCCGGTCCATCCTTGCTGCTTGACACAGTCGCTGCAGGAAAGAAACATCTGCACAGCATATGTTTCAAGGGACCTGGCGTATATGGCATACTGTTCTTAATATGTTTGCTCCCCTTAGCGCTATGTGTTTTAACCAAGGTCACCTCTCCGAGAAAGGTTGTTTCCCCAGGTAGGGATTTTTCCCTGAAGTTAGGGAGGGGATAAACCCCTTAACTAAGTGCCAGGCGGGTAGTTAATCACTTTAACTACGAACAATCACGCTTAAGCTACATAATCTTTACTCCCTGGAATGGAGATAAGAAACGCCCTAACCTTTGCAATAGAAATTGACAGGATTAAAATCAACTGGTATAAATACAGATGTAACAAGACAATAAACACCAGAACCTGGCTGGAAAAAAAAAAGAATGGAAGGGTAAAGGGAGTGAAATGTGATCCTATTTAACATCCAACCTTTTCAAATACAGTTTCTTCTTCTACCCAGAAGTTGAC